AATCCATATGATCTGTCGTTTATATAGATATCTCTAAAATTTGATGAATTTCATTGTGAAAACATTGGCTTGCATAAGAACATGTGATATCGTATGTTTATAATTTTTAGAGTGAATCAAAATTTTGATATATTTCCGAATTAAATACTTCTTACGATATCGTATATTACAACCAATAATATTTTTCTTTTTTTCTTTTTTTCTTTTTTTTTTCAGTATGAAGATTTTCATCTTTGTCTTTTTGGAGGCGGCCACGTGACAGGCTGAATTGTTTGGACAGGAAATAGCGGCTAAAATATTTTTATTGGGATTTTTAAAAAAATCACAGATACAGATACATAAATGAACGTACTGCTCCATAATCACACGGACACAAAACGAGATTACTGATTCACACACACACACTTGTAAAAACGAGTTTTGAGACACATACAAATGCATATATGTAAGATTATGCACGTTCTTTTAAATATCATGTTTATGTACTTGGATAAAAAAATCTAAAGGAAAAATTAATTTATAAGAATAACGAGAAAGGTTGCAAAAATAACGAAGTCCTTGCAATATATAAGTCAGTTCCTTGCAATATATAAGTCAGTTCCTTGCAATATATAAGGCAATGATTTATCTCCTTTTCTTGAACAATCTCTGAACAACCGGTTATTGTTTATGTGACTAAACATACCAAATACCCTGCTATTTACTCATAGCAGAGAAGGGAGAAGTGCATTCATGCCTTTCCCAAAAATGCATTAGTGCGAAGTGAAAGGAAACTATCCTAGCCAGATTCGAACTCTCTTCGCTGATTCTACTCTTCATACCGTCAACCATGAACGTACGATCCACTGAGAACTTTGCAAAAGATTATGTTTCGATTATGTGAATCAGTTATATGTACAAACCTGAGTGTGTTTGAAAAAGTGAAAGCAAGTGCTTGAAAACTAATCAGCCAAGGGCGGCTTTAGAGACAGAAGCTCTCCTTCCGGATTCTTCTGGGTGGATTGGGAAAAGAAGGTGAAGGATAGATGCTGCGGTTGTAGTATCTGTTCCGTTCTGGAGGCCTTCTCTTCCCCCTTACGTCCCCTGCCCCGATGTGTAACATCTGTTACGTAGCGGTGATATGACCGGCTATGACTAGCTTAGACAAGCTTTGATCAGCTTAGACACGCTAAGAGCAGCTTAGACCAGCGACCCGAGTTGAAACAGTCGGGTTGACACGTTAAAAACCGACTCAGTAGGTGAGGGGAGGTTAAGGTAAATCTCGGTCGGCTTTAGAGACAAAAATGATGGCGAAAGAATATTTAAAACTGTTCTTTTAAATTCTGTTGCACTCTCAATATTCTTGTCGTCTTCAGCTTTATAGTAACTTTGATAGATTTCTCTTTTTCTTTAGATTCTGATTTTTTTTTTATCTTTCCTGAGACATAACTTGTAACATTTTCTAGAGCTCGATTGATTTTAGGTTCGGCTATCACTCGTATTATTATTATTGACCTTCAGGCATTTATTTCGTCTACCCAAATGTATTTACAAAGCTTGGGTTAACCTGGTTTTCAGGCAATTTCTAACAATGTTATGTCCCGAGATTGTTTTCCTCGGGCACATATTATATTATCCTTGACAAATCGACCATATTAAGATTCGAACGCAGGTCTCCTGGTCGTAAAGATAATCTTCTGACCATTCAGCCACGCGCTAACACGAAGTCACAACGTCATTGATGTTTGGCGTTATTCAACTGCCGATAACACCAGATTATGCGCTCATTCCCAGGAACTGTAACAAAGGTTCGCTCAGCATAGTTACACTATAAACTACGGCTGGACTTTGTGGGAGTTAGCGAAGCATAAAGCTGCAGGTGGTGTCTGCAACAAAGATTTTCTAGAAACTCTAGCAGGCGAGGCTACACGGAAAACGAACTGCTAACCATTACATACATGCTTTTTTATGTTCACTCTAGGTACCTGGTTGTTGACTCTCCAGGATCTTCCTCAATATCGTTGCAGACCTCCATTTCAAATGAGGTTTGCACAGACTTCAATTTTTTCTATAATTTCCAGATTTTCTTGATTTGATTCTAGTGTTTTCCACATGATTTTAAGAGCGTTGATAATTATATGAATGACCTTAATCTACATATTAGTTTTATTGGCTCCCGTGCGAGGTACTGGTATGCTTCTAATTTCCTTTCATCTTGAACCTGTTGGCCGATAGAATTCCATCCATTTATTATTATTCTTAGTAGTAGTAGTTTTTTATGTCCTTTTTTTTTCATCCATGGAACTGATTTCCTCTCTTGGAAATCCCCTCAATATTTTACTAAGGATCCTGCCAATGTAATTCTACCCATCATAATTTTTTGGCCACTGGTTTGCTTACAAAATCTTCCTTATTCTTCGTAAATATTGTCCTTATTTTTTTAATCATTTCGTTGTATTTATTCTGCTTTTAAGCTATTTTCCTAGTGTCTTTTTCCATTGAACATCCCACCAATTATATTGTTGAGTTATTCAATTCCTTCTGTTGACACCTGTTTTCTTTCATAAATCACCAAAAGTGCTCATTCCCAATTCCGTCTCAATGTTTGATTCGTATCAATGTTTCTAACTTCGTTTTATATCTTTAGCAAATAATTTCTGGTTGTCCATGTTGATCGAAACGATACCAAATAAAAATTCATATCAGTTATATTTCTTAATTTTCTTTGTCATCTAGATAAAATTATTTCTTTGTTTCTATATATTTCGATATATGTCTTTGATATTTCTTTGTTATCTAGATATAAAATCTAGAAAGTGAAAATAGACATTTAATCATATATTAAATTTGGAAAACAAAAACTTGCAAATTTAACTTTTTTGTAAATTCCGAACATCATTTCAATTTGATCTAACACCAAAAAACTTAAGGTTTTTACTTTCATTTTTTAAATGAAATTTAAATTGAAACATGATAAAAACCATGTGTTACGTATCATCACAGATCACGAACTTATGGACAAAGTGAAAATAAACACTCTTAGAAAAATGTAACAAATTTGAGTTCACGCTTCGATCCCATCCGTAGGTAATCATTAAACCTATTTGAATACATTAAAAGATCTAGTGCAGGGGTCGTTAAATTTCGTCTTGAAGATGTGGTACTTAGGGAAAGAAGTAAAAAACCAAAATAACGAAATATCAGGATTCTGTGTTTACCAACTAATGAGTGGCAAAGGCTAAATAATTGGAATAAATGACAGTGGAAATAAATCATGTTTGTTTGCAATTTGGCCTCACGCTGAAAAAGTAGCTAATGATGAATAATGAACAAAAAAAAAAGATTACTTTGTTAGGATTTTTATTTCATTCTTCTTCTTATTTTTCCATCGATAGTGTTCAAGTTTCTGTTTAGCATCAGTATGGACAAAATAGTGGAGACAGTTGAGCAGAAAAGAACAAACTCATCCACGCTGAACTTTCTCCAGAAGAAATCAGGTATAGATTATTATTATTAGCATAGTACCCATAAAAAAATGACGGTATTATTTACAAATAGATTGGCAATATGCGCTCTGCCTCAAATGTTGCTGCCGGTTCTCTGCCGAGGGTCAGAGCAACACATTGCGTTATATATATATATATATATATATATATATATATATATATATATATATATATATATATATATATATATATATATATATATCTGTGTGTTTGTGTATACATGGTGTCCATAAAGTTCGTATGCACTTTTAAAATATGTATAACTTTATTAATATTTGCGATAGAAATAATCTGTCAAAAATGTTATAAAGTTTAATGTACCTAGTTTTAAGTATAGCTAAAATAACTAATGTGATTTCAGGCATTATTGTAAATCAGTTAGTAAATTTTTTCCGTGAACTGCAAAATAGTATTACCCTTTGTATTGCTAATGATGGAGGACGTGTGGAAACTTAAATAAAATTTCAATAAAAACTTGGGGGTGGGGGGTTGTCTCTCACTATCCTTTCGCTACAATCACCAGATATCTCTAATATGAAAATACAACAACAATAATAAAGAGCTGGACCAATGAAGATTTTTGGGATACTAAGATTATAAATACATTAACCAACGCTTGTATCATTTAAATGTATCTTCCCATTCTGCCCCTAACCCTTTTTATCTTCGTTGCTTATCCAAGCTTTTATATAAATGTTATGTAAACAGAAATTTGTTTTATACGCCAAAACGGAATAATGAAAGCAAAAATATTTTCTACAGCAAAAATATTTTCCTATTTTGCTCTGTTTCTCAGTAAAGAAGTTTAATGTGTCGCAATCTTGACACTTTTCATTCGCTCATTTCATTTTGGCAACCAACCAGCAAACGCTTCTATCTTTCTGGGTTTTTTTTAATCTTTTCCTTAATGCCTATATGTGTATATGTTTATTATTATTATTATTATGCTCTGTCAGAAAGTGTAACTGACTCAAACTCAAAGTGCCGGTTGGTTAGATTGGCTGATTTTATGAAATCCTTTGCTGGTTTATTTAATGGAAGTGCCAGATTTTTCACTCTGATAAGAGGTGAGAAAGCGTAACAGAATATAAACAGGCAAAATAATAGCAGAGGCAAGATATAATTCACGAGATCATATCCAAGTGGAAAAAAAGATATTCTGTTAAAGTAGCTATTTCAAGAATGAAATGAAAGGGAGTTACGAAAAATTATCAAGAATTTGTGCAAGAGATTCAAAATTGGAAAACATGATGAGCGTGGTGCCTATAATCGCTTGAATACTATGAACATTCCTAAAGAACCATGAAAAAAAATTGAAAATTGTTGCGGAAACGATGAATGGAAGGCAGAACTTGTCACTGTTGTTGTTTCTGCTGAAGAAGTTAAGTTCTTCTTCGCCTCAGCCAACGTAAATTCGAGGAAAAAAAGAATACGTCGTATTTTGGGTAAATAAATGTATTATTTATTTAAATATACAAAGCCAGCATAGTATTCGTTGCTGTTGTAAAAAGAAACAGAATGGGAGAGGAAGAAAGAAAGAGAAACAGAATGGGAGAGGAAGAAAAAATGGAAAGAGAAACAGAATGGGGAGAAAGAAAGAAAGAAAATGGAATGGGAGAGAAAGAAAAGAAAGAGAAACAGAATGGGAGAAAAGAAGAAAGAAAGAATGAAACAGAATGGGAGAATGGGAGAGAAGAAAGAAAGAAAAATGTAATGGGAGAGAAAGAAAGAAAGAGAAACAGAATGGGAGAGGAAGAAAGAAAGAGAAACAGAATGGAGGAGAAAGAAAGAAAGAAAAAAATGGAATGGGAGAGGAAGAAAGAAAGAGAAAAGAATGGGAGAGGAAGAAAGAAAGAGAAACAGAATGGGGGAGAAAGAAAGAAAGAAAAAATGGAATGGGAGAGAAAGAAAAGAAAGAGAAACAGAATGGGAGAGGAAGAAAGAAAGAGAAACAGAATGGGTGAGAAAGAAAAGAAAGAAAAAATGGAATGGGAGAGAAAGAAAGAAAGAGAAACAGAATGGGAGAGGAAGAAAGAAAGAGAAACAGAATGGGGGAGAAAGAAAGAAAGAAAAATGGAATGGGAGAGAAAGAAAGAAAGAGAAACAGAATGGGAGAGGAAGAAAGAAAGAGAAACAGAATGGGGGAGAAAGAAAGAAAGAAAGAAAAATGGAATGGGAGAGAAAGAAAGAAAGAGAAACAGAATGGGAGAGGAAGAAAGAAAGAGAAACAGAATGGGGGAGAAAGAAAGAAAGAAAAATGGAATGGGAGAGAAAGAAAGAAAGAGAAACAGAATGGGAGAGGAAGAAAGAAAGAGAAACAGAATGGGGGAGAAAGAAAGAAAGAAAAATGGAATGGGAGAGGAAGAAAGAAAGAGAAACAGAATGGGAGAGGAAGAAAGAAAGAGAAACAGAATGGGGGAGAAAGAAAGAAAGAGAAACAGAATGGGAGAGGAAGAAAGAAAGAGAAACAGAATGGGGAGAAAGAAAGAAAGAAAATGGAATGGGAGAGAAAGAAAGAAAGAGAAACAGAATGGGAGAGGAAGAAAAAAAAGAGAAACAGAATGGGGAGAAAGAAAAGAAAGAAAAAATGGAATGGGAGAGGAAGAAAGAAAGAGAAACAGAATGGGAGAGGAAGAAAGAAAGAGAAACAGAATGGGCGAGAAAGAAAGAAAGAAAAATGGAATGGGAGAGGAAGAAAGAAAGAGAAACAGAATGGGAGAGAAAGAAAGAAAGAGAAACAGAATGGGAGAGGAAGAAAGAAAGAAAAATGGAATGGGAGAGAAAGAAAGAAAGAGAAACAGAATGGGAGAGGAAGAAAGAAAGAGAAACAGAATGGGGAGAAAGAAAGAAAGAAAAATGGAATGGGAGAGGAAGAAAGAAAGAGAAACAGAATGGGAGAGGAAGAAAGAAAAAGAAAAATGGAATGGGAGAGAAAGAAAGAAAGAGAAACAGAATGGGAGAGGAAGAAAGAAAGAGAAACAGAATGGGGAGAAAGAAAGAAAGAGAAACAGAATGGGAGAGGAAGAAAGAAAGAGAAACAGAATGGGGAGAAAGAAAAGAAAGAAAAAATGGAATGGGAGAGAAAGAAAGAAAGAGAAACAGAATGGGAGAAGAAGAAAGAAAGAGAAACAGAATGGGGAGAGAAAGAAAGAAAGAAAATGGAATGGGAGAGAAAGAAAGAAAGAGAAACAGAATGGGAGAGGAAGAAAGAAAGAGAAACAGAATGGGGAGAAAGAAAAGAAAGAAAAATGGAATGGGAGAGAAAGAAAGAAAGAGAAACAGAATGGGAGAGAAAGAAAGAAAGAGAAACAGAATGGGGAGAAAGAAAGAAAGAAAAAATGGAATGGGAGAGGAAGAAAGAAAGAGAAACAGAATGGGAGAGGAAGAAAGAAAGAGAAACAGAATGGGGAGAAAGAAAGAAAGAAAAAACGGAATGGGAGAGAAAGAAAGAAAGAGAAACAGAATGGGAGAGGAAGAAAGAAAGAAAACAGAATGGGCGAGAAAGAAAGAAAGAAAAAATGGAATGGGAGAGGAAGAAAGAAAGAGAAACAGAATGGAGAGAAAGAAAGAAAAAGAAAAACAGAATGGGAGAGGAAGAAAGAAAGAAAAATGGAATGGGAGAGAAAGAAAGAAAGAGAAACAGAATGGGAGAGGAAGAAAGAAAGAGAAACAGAATGGGGGAGAAAGAAAGAAAGAAAAATGGAATGGGAGAGGAAGAAAGAAAGAGAAACAGAATGGGAGAGGAAGAAAGAAAGAAAAATGGAATGGGAGAGAAAGAAAGAAAGAGAAACAGAATGGGAGAGGAAGAAAGAAAGAGAAACAGAATGGGGGAGAAAGAAAGAAAGAGAAACAGAATGGGAGAGGAAGAAAGAAAGAGAAACAGAATGGGAGAGAAAGAAAGAAAGAGAAACAGAATGGGGGAGAAAGAAAGAAAGAGAAACAGAATGGGAGAGGAAGAAAGAAAGAGAAACAGAATGGGGAAGAAAGAAAGAAAGAAAAATGGAATGGGAGAGGAAGAAAGAAAGAGAAACAGAATGGGAGAGGAAGAAAGAAAGAGAAACAGAATGGGGGAGAAAGAAAGAAAAATGGAATGGGAGAGAAAGAAAGAAAGAGAAACAGAATGGGGGAGAAAGAAAGAAAGAAAAATGGAATGGGAGTGAAAGAAAGAAAGAGAAACAGAATGGGAGAGGAAGAAAGAAAGAGAAACAGAATGGGGGAGAAAGAAAGAAAGAAAAATGGAATGGGAGAGGAAGAAAAGAAAGAGAAACAGAATGGGAGAGGAAGAAAGAAAGAGAAACAGAATGGGGAGAAAGAAAGAAAATGGAATGGGAGAGAAAAAAGAAAGAGAAACAGAATGGGGAGAAAAAAAGAAAGAAAGAAAATGGAATGGGAGGAAAGAAAGAAAGAGAAACAGAATGGGAGAGGAAGAAAGAAAGAGAAACAGAATGGGGGAGAAAGAAAGAAAGAAAAATGGAATGGGAGAGGAAGAAAGAAAGAGAAACAGAATGGGGGAGAAAGAAAGAAAGAAAAATGGAATGGGAGAGAAAGAAAGAAAGAGAAACAGAATGGGAGAGGAAGAAAGAAAGAGAAACAGAATGGGGAGAAAGAAAGAAAGAAAAAATGGAATGGGAGAGGAAGAAAGAAAAGAAACAGAATGGGGAGAAAAAAAGAAAGAAAAAAAAATGGAATGGGAGAGAAAAGAAAGAAAGAGAAACAGAATGGGGAGAAAAGAAAGAAAGAAAAATGGAATGGGAGAAAGAAAGAAAGAGAAACAGAATGGGAGAGGAAGAAAGAAAGAGAAACAGAATGGGGGAGAAAGAAAGAAAGAAAAATGGAATGGGAGAGGAAGAAAGAAAGAGAAACAGAATGGGAGAGGAAGAAAGAAAGAGAAACAGAATGGGGAGAAAGAAAGAAAGAAAAATGGAATGGGAGAGAAAGAAAGAAAGAGAAACAGAATGGGAGAGGAAGAAAGAAAGAGAAACAGAATGGGGGAGAAAGAAAGAAAGAAAAAATGGAATGGGAGAGAAAGAAAAAAAGAAACAGAATGGGAGAGGAAGAAAGAAAGAGAAACAGAATGGGGGAGAAAGAAAAGAAAGAAAAATGGAATGGGAGAGAAAGAAAGAAAGAGAAACAGAATGGGAGAGGAAGAAAGAAAGAGAAACAGAATGGGGGAGAAAGAAAGAAAGAAAAATGGAATGGGAGAGGAAGAAAGAAAGAGAAACAGAATGGGGGAGAAAGAAAGAAAGAAAAATGGAATGGGAGAGAAAGAAAGAAAGAGAAACAGAATGGGAGAGGAAGAAAGAAAGAGAAACAGAATGGGAGAGGAAGAAAGAAAGAGAAACAGAATGGGGGAGAAAGAAAGAAAGAAAAATGGAATGGGAGAGGAAGAAAGAAAGAGAAACAGAATGGGGAGAAAGAAAGAAAGAAAAATGGAATGGGAGAGAAAGAAAGAAAGAGAAACAGAATGGGAGAGGAAGAAAGAAAGAGAAACAGAATGGGAGAGGAAGAAAGAAAGAGAAACAGAATGGGAGAGGAAGAAAGAAAGAGAAACAGAATGGGGGAGAAAGAAAGAAAGAAAAATGGAATGGGAGAGAAAGAAAGAAAGAGAAACAGAATGGGAGAGGAAGAAAGAAAGAGAAACAGAATGGGGAGAAAGAAAGAAAGAAAATGGAATGGGAGAGAAAGAAAGAAAGAAAACAGAATGGGAGAGGAAGAAAGAAAGAGAAACAGAATGGGGGAGAAAGAAAGAAAGAAAAAATGGAATGGGAGGAAAGAAAGAAAGAGAAACAGAATGGGAGAGGAAGAAAGAAAGAGAAAACAGAATGGGAGAGGAAGAAAGAAAGAGAAACAGAATGGGGAGAAAGAAAGAAAGAAAAATGGAATGGGAGAGGAAGAAAAAAGAGAAACAGAATGGGGGAGAAAAAAAGAAAGAAAAAATGGAATGGGAGAGAAAGAAAGAAAGAGAAACAGAATGGGAGAGGAAGAAAGAAAGAGAAACAGAATGGGGAGAAAGAAAGAAAAGAAAGAAAAAAATGGAATGGGAGAGAAAGAAAGAAAGAGAAACAGAATGGGAGAGGAAGAAAGAAAGAGAAACAGAATGGGGGAGAAAGAAAGAAGAAAAAAAATGGAATGGGAGAGGAAGAAAGAAAGAGAAACAGAATGGGAGAGGAAGAAAGAAAGAGAAACAGAATGGGGGAAAAGAAAGAAGAAAAAATGGAATGGGAGAGAAAGAAAGAAAGAGAAACAGAATGGGAGAGGAAGAAAGAAAGAGAAACAGAATGGGGAGAAAGAAAGAAAGAAAAAAAATGAATGGGAGAGAAAGAAAGAAAGAAAAACAGAATGGGAGAGGAAGAAAGAAAGAGAAACAGAATGGGGAGAAAGAAAGAAAAAAATGGAATGGGAGAGAAAGAAAGAAAGAGAAACAGAATGGGGAGAAGAAAGAAAGAGAAAATGAATGGGGAGAAAAGAAAGAAAGAAAAAAAAAATGGAATGGAAGAAAGAAAAAAGAGAAACAGAATGGGAGAGGAAGAAAGAAAGAGAAACAGAATGGGAGAGGAAGAAAAAAAGAGAAACAGAATGGGGGAGAAAGAAAAGAAAGAAAAACAGAATGGGGAGAAAGAAAGAAAGAGAAACAGAATGGGGGAGAAAGAAAGAAAGAAAAATGGAATGGGAGAGGAAAGAAAGAAAATAGAATGGGAGAGGAAGAAAGAAACAGAATGGGGGAGAAAGAAAGAAAGAAAATGGAATGGGAGAGAAAGAAAAGAAAGAGAAACAGAATGGGAGAGAAGAAAGAAAACAGAATGGGGGAAAAGAGAATGGGGGGAGAGAAAGAAAGAAACAGAATGGGGGAAAAGAAAGAAAGGAAAAATGGGAAAAAGAAAGAAAGAGAAACAGAATGGGAGAGGAAGAAAGAAAGAGAAACAGAATGGGAGAGGAAGAAAGAAAGAGAAACAGAATGGGGAGAAAAAGAAAGAAAGAAAAAAATGGAATGGGAGAGGAAGAAAGAAAGAGAAACAGAATGGGGAGAAAGAAAGAAAGAAAAATGGAATGGGAGAGAAAGAAAGAAAGAAAACAGAATGGGAGAGGAAGAAAGAAAGAGAAACAGAATGGGAGAGGAAGAAAGAAAAGAAACAAATGGGAATGGGGGAAAAAAAGAGAAACAGAATGGGGGAGAAAAAAGAAAGAAAAATGGAATGGGAGAGAAAGAAAGAAAGAGAAACAGAATGGGAGAGGAAGAAAGAAAGAGAAACAGAATGGGGAGAAAGAAAGAAAGAGAAACAGAATGGGGGGAAAGAAAGAAAGAAAAAATGGAATGGGAGAGAAAGAAAGAAAAGAAAAGAATGGGGAGAGGAAGAAAGAAAGAGAAACAAAATGGAATGGGGAGAAAGAAAGAAAGAGAAAATGGAATGGGAGAGGAAGAAAGAAAAGAGAAACAGAATGGGAGAGGAAGAAAGAAAGAGAAACAGAATGGGGAGAAAGAAAGAAAGAAAGAAAATGGAATGGGAGAGGAAAGAAAGAAAACAGAATGGGAGACAGAGAAACAGAATGGGGAGAAAGAAAGAAGAAAAATGGAATGGGAGAGGAAGAAAGAAAGAGAAACAGAATGGGAGAGGAAGAAAGAAAGAGAAACAGAATGGGGGAGAAAGAAAGAAAGAAAGAAAAATGGAATGGGAGAGAAAGAAAGAAAGAGAAACAGAATGGGAGAGGAAGAAAGAAAGAGAAACAGAATGGGAGAGGAAGAAAGAAAGAGAAACAGAATGGGGGAGAAAGAAAGAAAGAAAAACAGAAATGGGAGAGGAAGAAAAGAAAGAGAAACAGAATGGGGAGAAAAGAAAGAAAGAAAAATGGAAAGAAAAGAAAAGAAACAGAATGGGAGAGGAAGAAAGAAAGAGAAACAGAATGGGGGAGGAAGAAAGAAAGAGAAACAGAATGGGGGAGAAAGAAAGAAAGAAAAATGGAATGGGAGAGAAAGAAAGAAAGAGAAACAGAATGGGAGAGGAAGAAAGGAAGAGAAACAGAATGGGGGAGAAAGAAAGAAAGAGAAACAGAATGGGAGAGAAAGAAAGAAAGAGAAACAGAATGGGGGAGAAAGAAAGAAAGAGAAACAGAATGGGGGAGAAAGAAAGAAAGAGAAACAGAATGGGAGAGAAAGAAAGAAAGAGAAACAGAATGGGAGAGGAAGAAAGAAAGAGAAAGAATGTTGGTCATGGCTTTCGGTTGATGTTTTGTGAAGATGGTGGCGGCGAAAGGATGAAAGTTGAAAAGTATCGCGTTCAGTCTAAGTCTGCCTGCGGCGTTCTTGACCAACCTCTGTGTGTCGACATCTCAACTGGGTCTCTCTCCCTCTCTCCCTCTTCTGCGGCGTTGAATCAATCAATTTATGTCCGTCGTATCGAGTCTAAATCACAGTCTTTGTCTTTTAGCGGGAGTTATTTCTACTAGTCAATATATAAAGTTCATTTTATCATTTATAACCGAAAACATGCGTCGAGCCATGATGCGCAGAGACGCGTTTTCCCATTCTGCCTTGGGTCGTCGAGCTTTCAACATCCGGTTTAGTGTAAGAGACACGAAACCCCCCCCCCCTTCTCGAAAATAGATCGGGTAAAAGCCGTATCAATTAATAAATAGTAATAAATGTATGTTTTGAAGTTTAGGAAATGTAACTTTTCTGCCTAATCTGGTTTGAATTGTCCGTGTATTGTCAGATTGTGATGTATTTTTAGATTTGGGTGTTTCTTGTACATAAGGAGAATGAGTGTGTGTGGTTGATTTTCTTTTTCTAAAACATCTGGTTCCAGTCTATCCATAGCGACTGTGTCTGACTGATTACCTTTTTGTATTGTGAAGTATTTTTCTGCTCTGTATAAGACTTTTATATGGACCCTAACACTTTGCTGATAGGGTTTTTTGGTTTTTTTTACTGCGTCTTCTCGTACGAAAAGGTATTCGCAGGTATACAGATTTGTTGGTATATATGTGTGTTTGTATGAATTTCGAGCAGGTGTGAATTTCAATTACGACAATCTTATTTTTTTAATTGTATGAAATACGGTGTCGGGTTAGAGTTTATGTCATTTTCAAAAACTTGTCCTGGTAATTATAAGGGTGTACTGAAAACTATTTCAGTTGGCATGCATCCAAGGTCTTCTTTAATGATGTTCCTTATAGAGAGGAGTATAAGGGGTAAATTATCAATCCAACTGATCGAGCTTTTCGTCCTGGCTAACGATGTCTTGACTTGCCCCTTTAATCTTTCCACTAATCCATTAGCAAATGTGTACTATGCTGTGATCTTAATATGCTTTGCTCCCAGCAAGGTTGCGGAATTCCTGAAAAAGAGATGATCGGAATTGTGTGCCACGATCAGTGGTGATAACATTAGGTACTCCGAAAATAGAAATCCAGTCTTTTAAAACAGCGTTTGGGATTAAAGTTTTTGACTTGTCTTTCAGTGCAATCGCGGTAGACCAACGTGAAAATCTGTCAACAATAGTTAGGATATAGGAATAACCTTGACAGCTCGATAGGGGACACACGATGTCTAAGTGGATGTGTTTAAAATTTGCATCAGGTTTGCTAAAAGTACCTATTGGTGTTTTGGTATGACGTTGTATTTTGTTCTTCTGACATTTTAGGCATACTGATGTCCAGTTTGTGATGTCTGATGCCATGTTTGGCCCAACAAAACGTTCACTTATAATTTTTACAGTGGATCGCTTGCGTGGGTGTGAAAGATTGTGAAATATTTGTTTCCTCAGTGTGGGTAGGATGTATGGTCTAGGGTTAGTTAATGTAGTGTCACAATAAAGTGTTTTATTACCGAAAGAAACTGGAAATTGTTTCAATGTTAAAGAGATATTTGATAATATTTCTGTTAGAGTAGAGTCAGATTTCTGTTCACCAGAAATTAAATCATGACTTAATGTATCGTCAGTAATCGCTGTTATATCTGTGCGCGACAGTGCATCAGCCACAATATTTGTTGTCCCTTTAATATAACGAATGTCTGTTGTGTACTGAGAAATAAAATCTAAATATCTAATTTCTCTAAGGGTGTATTTGTCAGCACTACATTTCATGGCATGAGTGAGGGGGCTTGTGATGTGTGTATATCGCAAAGTTTCTACCTTCGAGTATGTGTCTAAACTGTTTAATTGCTAAATATACAGCCAACAATTCTCTAGAAAAGGTGCAAATTGAAAGGAGGAAAGTTGAAAAGTATCGCGTTCAGTCTCAGACTGCCTGCCGGGTTCTTGACCAATGAAAAGAGTAAGGAAAAGTGATAAACTTAGGATAAAAACCAAGACTCTAATTTACCAAACATGCGTTCTCTCAACACTTTAACGAGAGTTGAGACATGGACCTTGTATGCTTATCAGAAGATGAAGTTTTAGTTCCGTTCGATTAAATGATTTTAATTTGAAATATTAGATCGCAACAACACTTATTATTACGAACGTTTTCTAATTTGTGACTGAATCTTGACAAGACATAAAATCTGTCAGCAAAAATGAAAAAACGTACCCGCAATAAGACGGAGTTTCAAAACTACGGTTTTTCTCTTGACACCACTTAAACCAGTAAAGACGCTTTCACACTGACGCCATATAGACATCGCTAAATACATTCCCTATGACTATTAAAATTTTGAATAATATAAGAGGTTGAAGCCATTATTATAATAACCAAGGATTTTTCAACAATATTCCGTACGTATATAATAAAATTACGAATATAAAATTAAGCAAAAATTACTAAAAAAAAAATTGCATTAGCCTGTTTGTCAGTTTTCTGCGGGACCCCTAGCGATGTCTTGTGGAACCTTAGGGTTCTGCGCAACACCGGTTGAGAAACACTGCCCGAACCTAATACAGTCTTCTTCAGTTGTGCTGACAGTTATCTACTTTTTCTTCTTTGTGCCGTGTCCCTTTAGGACGTGAGCAATTATAACTCTCCATAACTTCCTTTGTAGCTTTTAGTACAGATTGTCTTATCATCATCCGCCCCAAACTCATTTGCACAAGCTCGCTGGACTGGTTACTCATTCTGCGTTCAGTATATCCGATGAGTGTCAAATTCTCCAAGCCTCCTTTCCTCATTATATGTCATAGAAGTTTCAATTGTGTCTTTCTGATTGTAAGTGTAAGCGCCCTTTTTGTTTCCATTTTCCTTAAAACTTCTTCGTTACTCAAGTCGTATTTTCAGGATCCTTTTCTAGGTCCATATTTCTGTTTCCTCAAGTCTCTTCTTTTTCTCTTAGGAGAATGTTCCACATTCACTGGTATAAAGAAGAACTCATATGACAGTTATATATGAATATTATTATGAATTTCAGTTTGTATTTCATTGATGTAAGCCTCTACTTAACAAATAAAGGCTTTGTAAATATTTACGCGGCTTAGCAAGAAGCAATAGTTAGCACTGTGTCATTCAACTTCCGACCGTTTGTACATCTTGGCCCTCAAAATTGAGAGAAGCTTATATCACAGGGAGATTCATTTTCATTCAGTGATCTAACAACTGGATTTTTAAAAAAAATGTATTTCTAACCTTATTTTGAAATTACTTGTGGGACGACGTAATATTTTAATCTGGAAGGGAAAATCTTTTATCCGTTTAATGTTGGAAAATTGTCATTTTTTTTCACCGAACGAATGTTTGATAACATGAAATTGGCAGCTAGTGAAATTGCCCAAGGATTGGAAATGACTCCAGGAATGCTCCAGCAATTTGTTGAAAAACATTTTGAAGGATATTGCTGAATTTGAAGGCAAGTATTGTTCAAACTTATAAAATTAGACTATCCTTCATAGCAGACATGATCTTTCTGCCGGTGCAAGAAGGCAGAGGGTGTTCAATCTCAGATTAAAACGCAAATTTCAAACAGTGATTTTCCAGGCAGACAAACCCTCTCCACTTGATGGGTTTGCGCAACATAGTCTTCCTACCTTCACCGCCCATTTTGAAATGTGAATTAAAAGGCTAAACTAAGTAAACAACAAAAAACAAATCAGATCGTAATCAATTTTATTTACCATTTACCATATTTCACCCATTATACATTTTTAATTTCGCGCATGCGCGTTGTTTGCTTTTGACTTTGTCGACTGCACACTATAGTAGGGTCAGTTGGGCACCGTCTGTTAAAAAAAGAGCATTATGACTCAATTCACTCCGCCAGAAATTTGGAAACAGCAAGCTGTACTGTTTGGTATTCGTGCCGGAAGGTCCAATACGAACAATTTAGAGTGTTTGGGTGTCAATCTGAGGACAGTGCAGAGGAATCGGAAAGAGTTGGATGAGTGTAAGGGTGATTACGAAGGTACAGTAGCTAGCAAAACTCACATTTGAAGATTGACACAACATAATCTTAATCCCTACATGCTTTCCCATTCAGTCTAGTACTATAAACTCGCTAAACTGAATTCTAAATTCGTTTTTTAACTAACGTTCTCCCCTATTTAATCCTTGTACCAAACAAAGTCCAGTAAATGTTATGTAGCATGTGATTTATACCATGAAATAACGGAAATCTGAATATAATTGATTGTCAGTTATTAATTTTTATCTAAGAAGAGTTGATCTGTGTTGCCCCCAGTATATACTGAGTTCACGCAAAGTAAACTCGATGTCTCATCAGAATATTAAAACAGCTAAGTGTGAAAGTGAACACAATAGACTAGCCCGGAATTTTATAACACGGCTCTTCGATTTCACTTTTCGTATCGATATCCTTTACACTAAAAATCAGCCAACATGGACAAATATGTCCACAATAAGACGTAATGTAAAAAAAAAAAAAACACTTTTTTCCCATAGCACTGCTTTTTTTTCTCTCTTCGGCAAAGTTTATTGTTTTAAAAAAAGAGCAATGATTAGAATTTGAATAAAACCTAAACCTATAATGAAACTGAATTCAAATTTTTTTCTTCTTGAGTATTTACAAAAATATTAAACACCATTTATTTATTATTTAAAAGGTTAATTTTATATTTGCAAAATTTTAAAAACTAACGCTATTACATTACAATTAATTCAATGCAATATTTATCATTTACCAATTTATAAGGAAATAAATGGGAAAACAATTTTTATTTATAAATTTATTAGCATTTACTAAATTATTAAAATATCTAAACCAATTATAAAGGAATTTTTATTATTTAACGTTTTATAAAGTTTAGATCAATTGGCAATTAGTCGAT